CTGGTCTCTCTCCAGTCTCTCTCTCTGGTCTCTCTCTCTAATCTCTCTCTCTCTGGTCTCTCTCTAATCTCTCTCTCTGGGTCAGGAGCTGTCAGACTCAGGGAGGTCGTCACAGTCAGAGGAAATGCGAGGAGAAGCGTTGACACCAGACGTTTTATTATTTTATAACTTGTCCCAGATAGAAGCGCAGTGGACATCTGAATTATTCAGTCTGTCTGTGAACAAACTCACCACGTCACCTGGTGCCACTTTCCCACGAGGGTTTCTCTGTTCTAAGCTGTGGAGACTACATATCTGTATGCTCTGTTGTATGGAGAAAAAAAACATCCAAATAATCTCACCATATTTTAACTCATGTTGTCTTTCTGGTTTCTCTCTATGGTCTCTCTCTGGTCTCCCTCTCTGGTCTCTGGTCTTCCTCTCTTGTCTCTCTCTCTCTGGTCTCTCTCTGGTCTCCCTCTCTCACTCTGTTCTCTTTGTGGTCTCTCCCTGGTCTTTTTCTGGTCTCTCTCTGGTCACTCTCTCTATATTTCTTTCTATAGATAAAAATACAAACAATTACTCAGAGATAGAAATTATAATAAAACGAGAAACCCTGTGTATGGTTTGAGAAGGGATTGGTCGAAGCAAAAACATGATTTTAATCCAATCCCGTCCTCCCAGTAACTACTTATACAATATAAAAAATAAAAAAAAGAATCAAAACCCTAGAATACCCTCTAACAAACAAATTTCTCTACGTTTTTTGATATATCTATTACAGAATCTCATACCACTTCACTGCCAAAAAGACAAATAAGTCAAAATATATCATAACTTGAGCACATTCCGACTGCATTAAGACACGATTTTCCAATGGGACAAAACAAAATGATCTGTTTTTTTGAAAGATACAGAAATTTCTCCCTTGGAATAAAAAAAATAAAGCAACAGTTTTGTTTTTTTTCAGACTTACTGTCTTTTTCCCAATGGAGAATCTGATTTGAACACAGTCAAAGTGTGTAAGATATAATCCACTCAATTCAAGCTTTTACTACCTCATATTTATCATGTTTTTTGCAGTGTTGAAGTTGCTTTGTCTGTCTTTTGAAATTGCCAACACAATGTCAACATGTGTGTGAATGTTTTGTTTTCGTACATCTCTGAACGTAGCACATGTTTGCACTCTCATCCATAATTAAAGGTCCTCCGTGCTCTTCCGATGGAGACTCCTTCGCCTCCTTCCCCATGTGCAGATTCCTCCGTGTCCCGACGAAGGACCCACAAATCAAAACCGTGATTGAGTAGTCCTTCCAATGCATCCGCTTGGTGCTCTCTGTCGTCTTTTGGGGGGTGGGTGTTTGGCAATGCTTTGCTGTAGGAACGCTTTGCTTTCTTTGAGCCAGGGGAAATCAGAAATCTCCCTGCAGCCTCCAAAGCTCCTCACTTGGAGACTTCATAATTACACTTCAACACAGCGGCCCTAGACTCTCGCACACTCGTAATTACATCTATCCGCCGCCATCCCATTAGATTTCTCCACGCCTTTAGGCATTTTTCCGTCATTTACTCCGTCACAGTGTGCAGCATTAGGGCCAGTGCATGGGGCAACCGGTCCAACCAGTGTGTGCGTGTGTGTGTGTGCACTGCAAAAAATGATAAAATATGTGGTGAAAATTTCTTAAATTCAGGCTTTTTTGTCTTACTCTGACACATGTTGATCTTGAGAGTGTTAAAACAAGATTCTCCAATGGGACAAAGACATGTAGTCCAATTTCAAGAACTGTTGCTTTATTTCCTCATTCCAAAGAAGACATTTGTTGGTACTTTTTTGAAAACAAGATCATTTTGCTTTGTCCCGTTGGAGAATCTTGTTTTAAGACAGCCAAAACTTCCACATATGAAGACACACTTTGGCAAATTTGAGATTTTTTTTACTTTTTTTTAATCACTTTTTGCAGTGTGTGTGTGTGTGTGAATATGTATGTGTATGTGCGTGCATGTGTGTGTCTGTGTGTGAAAGAGCAAGACTGGGGAGTTGAAGGTTCAAATCTCAAGACCCTTTCTTTCATCTAGAATTTGTCCACCCTGAAGGGATAGGCTGGTGTAATAGATTGGGAACATGAGGGAAAAATAGCTCATTTACACACACACACACACACACACACACACACACACACACACACACACACACACACACACACACACACACACACACACACACACACACACACACACACACACACACACACACACACACACACACACACACACACACACACACAAACGCAGAAAAATAAAGCGAACATCTATAAAGGAGTAGCCGACCAAGTAATTGCTGGGCCTTTGGCTGCGCTGAGACGAGTTTTACTTCTCCATGTAATAAACAGTGGGTCTAAACTGAAGGCTGAGAACAGAAAGTTTGTAATGAGGCAAGACTCCTGCGTGGTTCTGATAGTTAGAGCTGCGGAGGGAAACTTTGTTGTTGTGATCCAAATCTGTGAAAAAAACATACATTAGTGACACAAAGTCTGGGTGCTTTGCAGAACCCCCCACACTGGGATTAGGACTGAATAATGAGGGATTCTTCTGTGGACTTTGGCTCTGGACTTGATGGGACCAAAGAGCAGCGCCTTGAGGATTCTTTTTATGTATTTTTCTGACATTTTATTTTTATTTTCTAAAATCTGTTGGCCATGTTTGCAGAATAAGTAACACACACCAAACAGACATCTTTCTGATGCAGGGAAGTGTTATGAAAACTTCAAAGAAAGAATTGCAGTCTCAAGTTGCAAGTTTTTAGATGTTTTGTTAGTTATTATTATTTATATATTATTTTAATTTTTATTTCATTTTTTCATATATAATTATTATTATTATTATTATTATTATATATTTTTTTAAATTATTATTATTATTATCATCATCATATATACTGTTTTCTATGTTTGTTTTATTAATTTTTATTTTTTATTTATGTAATATTTTCCTTTGCATTATTTTTGTTGTCTCATGTTTTGAATTATGAAATTTTGATCCAACTCTAAAAGCAAAAACTCAAATATAAACTGTACTTTATTTAAGTCAAAATGGCTACAACATCTACCAAACATCCAGCACATAGAAAATATAAACAATAATTCTGTCATTTTGTATTCATTTATTTAATTTTTAATTCAGACACACAAAGAGTCCATAGAACACAGCAAAAATACAACAACAACAAAAGTTGTGTGGATCTTTGTTGTTAGTTTTACTTCAGACAATTCTCTTGAGGTTTTGTAGAGATTTATTTCCTGTTCTATTTTGGATCACCTCAACCCTAGTCCCTATGTTTAATTTTTTCACTTTGGACTTTTCATTTCATTTATTTTCCTGCTTTTTGGTTCTTTCTTTAGTTCTCGTGACTACTTTATTCCCAAGATGCATTAGCGTTCCGATCCAATATTAACTTCGCATAGTATTGGAGTCCTATCCGTACACTTCGATACAAAGAAATTTCATGCAAAGGGGTAAAAATAAATATACAGTATATATAAAAAAAAAAAATAGTGCTTTTGTGTGGCGCATTTGAACAAAGACTGTATCATATATTGAGGCGCTGGGTGCGGGTGACACTCCGTCTGATGTGGGGCCCAGATATGAAGTCCTGGTGTCAAGAGATGCAAAAACCGCCTGCGGCTATGAGCGGCCGCATTCAATTTCCTTCTTATCTGGATCCGTGCGCGTTTTCGGAGGAAGTCTTATGTGTGTGCGATAGCGAGGGGAGCGAAGGGCACTGTCAGCTGAAAGGAGTGGGTTTTTCTTTATGGTAAGAAATGATATGTTTGAATGAAAGTGTCAAAATGATGAGAGGAATTGTGAGGGAAAGGCAGCGGGAACGACTGGGAAAAGCAGCCGGCGAGAGCATTCACAATGTCAAGACTGGAGATAGCTGTGATGTTGGTGTCTGCAGCCAGAATCTACACATGTATACAGCAAACACCGGCCGTTTTACTTCGAAAAAGTCATTAAATCTTGGTGAAAGTAGTGTGTGTTTGGTCATATTTATAAATTTTCTGCCATGCTACTGTGGGAACAAAATGACAGTTCAAAAAGTCATAATACCTAAAAAAGTTTTAACCTATAGGCGGATGATTAGAGTTGCAGACAAGGGAGGAGCAGCTTTAAGACATGGTACGATAATACGAGGGGCTGGTGCTATGTGTAGTGAGTGCAGCTCTGACTGCCACCCCCCCGACCCAGAAATGGATTAAGGGGAAGAAAATGAAGATGGATGGATGGGTGGTACGATAATAAATGCATGATTAGACTATCAAACTAGATATACACAGCTACAAGCTAACTATGCTATTTGACCAGGAAAGTCCCACTGAGCACCAGGAGGAAACCTACTCAGACACCAAGACTGAATGATACCAAGACTAGAATCGGACCCTTTCCTGTTATTTCCCTGATTTTATATTTCATATTTTTCTTTACGCATGCTATCTTTAAATAATTAGCGTGTGCAATGTACTGTGTGTTCTGCCCTGTCGCTGTAGGTTTTTGCAAACAATTATTCTAAAATAATGTTGGTAAGTAGAAGATAGTGGAGAGGATTGTGGACTTCAGAAAGACCTTGTGACTTTTTGTTGCTCAAAGTAGCAATAAAGGAATTCTGATTCTGATTTACAAACATTTTTAGACCCGTTCATCTGGATTTTTCAGTTTGCTCGAGATCCAGCCTACCCTGGTCTTACCATACCATTGTACTAATTTCATTTGTTACTAAGGTCAGGATTTGCTCCTTGGAGCTCCAACAGGTGGGAGGGGTTAACTACTTTTGCAGATTGAAACGATTGGATCTGAGTTTATCGTGACGTATGTGATGAGTCCGAGTGAGTGAGGCATTTAACATTTAGCTTGTTCTTTGTGTCTGTGTAGGTTTCCTTCTGTTGCTTCGGGTTCCCCCTACCGCTTATAACATGTACAATAATGAATATAATTGACTTCATTACTGACTTGTCTCTTCTCCGCAGGTGTTCCACGCCAACACCGACCCGACTGAGGTGGTCCTGAACCGGATCCCACAGCCCGTCTTGGCGCGATTCGTCCGGATCCGACCTCAGTCCTGGAAGAACGGCATCGCACTGAGGTTCGAGCTGTACGGTTGCCAGATCACAGGTAAATCAAGCAAGTCAACTTGGAATAGTAGCCTCAAAATAGAATAGGATGGAAAACCTAATTTCCACTTGAGTATTTTGTTAACTGCAGCATATGAGAACAAACTATTATTCAATTTGTATTCAGGCTGAAAATATATTGCGTTTTGGAAAAAGTGATGCAAAATAACTAAAAAATTGCTTAAATTTGGCAACATGTATCTTACTTTCACCACATGACTGTTTTGCAATTTGCTATTTGCGACTACGGAAATTGATATTTTGATTAAATCGCGTGGCGGCCGACCCTGGATTATACAATACAGTCTCGAGTGCAAAGCAGAGCCATCGAACCTGAATACAAACCCCACCTGGGCCCCTCCCTCTGCCCACACCACAGACACCACAGACCCGTCTTCATTCACAAACTCCCCTTAATCCCTTTATTACATTTCCTCTCCTCAGGTTAATTTGATGCGCCCATTCTCTGTCATACAATCTAATGATAATTCTCATATTAGCGCCTCTATTAATCCCCATTACTTGTATTCATATATTCCCTTCTTTTGTCGCTAACACAAAAGCCATCTACTCTTTACGCTGGCTCACACTTTGCCCTGGCCCCTCTCCTGTATCCAGACCCATTTATACCAAAGCCCCCTCCCTCCCTTCCACCAATCTAATAGAATAATACTATGGTTGCCGTGTGGGCGATAGCATCGGCTTTCATCTCTCGCGCTGGCAAACAAACACCATTTTCGAACGGTATAATCAGCTTCAATGCTATAAATAGAAGAAACTTAATTAGGCTGTCTCTGTGTTTCTGTCGTAGAGGTATAGCAGAGTAAAAAAAAAAAGGACTCGAATCCATTCTGTGTGCGCGACTGTATCATTATTAGGTTAAGGCCTCTCCGCTGCCATTGTAGTGGCCATTCGCCGGGATAGATATGGCTCTTATCGGAGGACGGCTATTTCGGCGCCCACGCAACGGCGAATCAAACAGGATTGTAGGATAGATGCCGGTTTGACGTGCAAAAGTAGGAAGACGGGAAGGCGGTGTTATTTTTTGCCGGATTTGCAAACACATTTGTAAATTGTGTTAGTCAGAAATTGATCGCATGGTTCTGGGCTTTTTTCAGCAAATGTTATCTGTTGCAACTTCTTCCACTGTTAATTTTCCCACTGGGCGATACGAAGCCTGGTCCTGGGTTTGATTCCTCTTCCAGACAGGGAGTTTGCATGTTCTACCCGCGCCTGTGCAGGTTTCCTCCGGGGCCTCCTGTTTTTTCCAACCACTAAAAACAGGTACCATAGCTCTGATCATGACTTTCAAAGTCTCTATTGTCTGTTTCTTGTCTCTCTCTGGTCTCTCTTTGGTCTCCCTAGCTCCATTGGTAGAGCTGAAGGTTGGGGGTTTGAATTCTGCTCTAGACCAAAAAACAATTAGTATAACAACCCTCTTCACACAGTGTTTTTTGTTCGTGCCTGCGTGTGTATTTGTGAATGGGTTATGTTTTGAGGGCTTTAAAAGTCTAGAAAACCCCCACAAAGATGAGACCATTTTTTGTTTGTAGCTTCCAAGATCAAGCAACATTCTATAGAACACGAGTCTATTTACCTCCATTCTTACACTGAAAAAATAGCGAAATGATTGCCCTGAGATCGGTCCTCTTGGGAGAGTGCACTGTACACATGCACGGATCCAGAAAACGGCTCACTGTGGTCCTCTGTGCAATCCTGCCCACACACTTCCCACTGCGTCCAATTCGACTCCGGCAAAAGCAGGAAAAACCCACCACCGACGGCCCCTCCACTTGGCCTTTTACTCACAAGAGCTCAGCATGAGGAAGAAATATCATAAAGGTACTAAAAATAAATGATTGATAGATGCCTCGGGCTGCGTCGAAATGAGATCAAACCAAGAAATAGGGAGAGAGGGAGGTGAGAAAGCACGAGAACAAGGTGCTGCCGAGACGTGAGAGAGAAGAGAAATGAAAAAGTATAGGTAAAAAGTGGGCGTAAAGTTGAGGGAAGGACATAAAAGTGTGATTTAAGTTAATGGCATGTCAGTGAATGAAAGCTTTATGGCCTGGTGCAGGATGAGACTGTTCCCAGAGGCCGCCTGTTTATGTGCCGAGCAGAGATAAGGACCTTTTTCAGCTTTTTCTGTGACTTTATGGGAAAATAGTGTAAGATTCTCGGTGTAAATTTGTCGTCTTTGTCACCGTGAAAATGTATCGACACATTTTGGATGATGTCATGAAAAACCGATCAGCAAAGAGTAACTTACGAGCCTCAACATGTCAAAATAAATTCCGTTTATTTTTGTTTAGCCCTAAATCACAGCAGCAGTCGTCTCAGAGGCGCTGTACTACTTTGTCGATTCCTCAATAACAGATCAGAGAAATATACAGTTTTAACACTGGAAATTCAATTATTACAGCCTCTGTCTTTGGATTAGCACCATTTCAATCAAAAATAGTAGTAAGAGCGTAAGGAATGTAAGGAATTTTCTTATTAATAGTAAATATGCATAAGTTTTACATAATACTTCATAGGGTATTATTCATTATTTATACCGTGGTGATAAACTACTACTAGCCCCTTAGACCACCCTCTATCGTTCACTCACACCCCAGACTCATATTAGACCTTTTTCACTTGATTAATAATAACTGTAGCTCCTGGTGTTCCCGGATGTCTCCCATCACAGTACTGACCAGGCCCTGTCTTGCTTAGCTTGATTATTATTATTATTATTTTAATAATAAACACACTTTCATTCATACATGGTTCTTCTATACCAGGCAATTGTAAGATTGCGATGTTATTTCCTTAATCTACTGAAAATTAAAAAAACATAATTGAACTCAAAATGCTATATGTATAGCACAATACATACACAAGGCAACTCAAAGATAAGAGAAGAAAATATAGACTTTTACTATTTAAATTTGGCATAGATAGAATCAGTCAGATTTGTGCAAAAGACAGAAGGGTGCAAACATGTTAGAGGCAAAAAATATAGTCTGTTTTGTTGCGCATTAGTGACTTAAAGTGACTTAAACAAGATAGAGACAGTCACACAAGGCATTCAAATCATAAATAATCACAGCACATTCAAATAAAATAAAATAAAAATCCCTCATTTATATGCACAGCTAAATAAAACTGTTTTTTACCTGGATTTAAACATTGGCAGAGAAGAAACCGGTCTCAAGAGAGTTTTTGTTGTTTTTGCTCAGTGGGAACGGGGCTCAAGACGCCGCCGAATTTTCGCACATCCAGTTGAGTCGAGGCGACGTATGGATTTGAATGCGTATTGTGAACATACTGAAATGATATGGAGAGTTGATCAAGTGATATAGAGAAAGGTCAGATGGCTTTAAAAAGGACAGAGGAGAGAGGACAGGCGTGGACTCGGGGGGCGAGCGCTGACAGTGAAGGCTGGACCTGATTGATGGTGACATTCGCGAGGCCTCGGTGCAAATGAATGTTTAATGCAGCGACCCGGAGCCAGCGCAGCTTTAGTAAATAATGAATCGGCCGTAAACAACCGCAGCCTTCGGAGCCGGGAAAAGTGATTAGCAACACGCGCCTTTTGTTTGTGCCGAGAGTTAAAGATGGTGAACGAGAGAGGGACGGGGAGATCTCCAGACGGGGACACAATCACATCAGGCGTCGGGGAATTCGGGCAGTAACAGAAACAGTTGGGATTTTTATGGAATCCAGGAGTTTCAAAGTGATTTAATGTTATGTTTTTATTAGTTGGCAAATTCACAAAGCTGTCGATTTGCCAAGAACAGATCAGAGAATCAGTTCAAACACAAGAAATTGTTTCAATCATTGGTCCATAAGGGACTGAGACACATGTTTGTGGATTATTGACACTGACGGAGGCGTTAGTGCTGTTTCAGAATGGGTCAAATGCAGAGGACATATTGAGAAGGATCATTTAACTTAAAAACCGTTTGTCAAAGGTGCTTTATACAAAAATTGGTTACTTATTTGTTGAATGAAGAACTGAAGCATCAACAAGTGCTTGTTCGTTCTTAATTTGTATCTGTTTCTGTCTTTGTTACGCCCATGAAGTCCTGTTTTGTTTTTGTTGTTGTTTGTTCTTTTTGGTTTTTTTGACAAACACATCAACATTCAACAAAAAACCCAAAAATAAAACAAAACCACAAAAAGTACAAACAGAGCAAACATAACACAAAGACGAGAAGACACCAAATAAATAATAATAATAATGATAAAAATGATAATGAATGATAATGATAATGATAACAATAATGATAATAATGATAATAATAATAATAATAATAATAATAATGATGAAGATGATGAAGTTTTTGTTGTTTTCGGATTAAATTTGATTTAGCCCAAGTAAAGAGGATTTCTCAGTAGTTCCACATTGTTTTAGTCTTTGTTTTGTCATTAATGATTTGAGAGTCATAACAAGACCTTTTTTAGTTCTGCGCCACATGTGTGCGTCACTAGGCAAAACAGGTTTGCACGCAGTCTTATACCTCAGCGTTTAAGTCGCTGGCAGAGCTAAAGCGGACTTAACCTGCCACCTAGTGGCGATAGGATGTAACATGTTTCACGCAGCTGCGTGATTCCCGAAAAGCGTGAATGAAGACGACAAAACGAAATGGGACCTACTGTATGAACTATTTTTCCTCTATTTTCAATTTAACTAGCTATTAATGATCTCTGCATTTGTAAACTTAGCTGAATCCTTATAAGAGCAAGACATAAGAAATCAGCTTAAACGTGTATTTATAACGCTACAGTAGTTTATGAATCGTAAACCCACCCACCCCCAGACTTTTAACTCTCTCTCTCTCTCTCTCTCTCTCTCTCTCTCTCTCTCTCTCTCTCTCTCTCTCTCTCCCCTTCGTTCCCATTTAAAAGACATGTTTTAGCATTAGTCTCTGTAGTCGGACAGTAATAAATAGAACGACTTTGATCTAGTGCACGCTTTCATTAGCTCACTTAGGGATTTCCCCGGCTTTATTCCCTCATGTCCCCGTCCACATCGGAGGTTCTGCTCAAATTATCCATCTTCTTTATTACAGAAAATAATATATGGTGTGGGGCAAGATGCTAATGCTCTGGACGTGTAGGGTCTTAGCTATTATCGCAATATGTCTGTGTAGAAAATAGGATTAGGATTCATTAGAGATTTCCACACATGGCTAAAGAAGGCTGCTGCTGAGGAAGAACTTGATACTGTATGTAAAAGTATAAGGGGACATAGGAAATGACATGTAAACTGTTATTTAAAGGTATGAAAATCTAAACATTGAGTGTGTATCAGTGAGAAAGTATTGCTAACTAATGCAGACACTGGGGTCGGTCCTTCTCAGTCCTGGACCCAGACTTCCTGATAGACAAGTGCTGATTTTGACCTTTATAAATCACGGCTCAAAACGTATTTATTCAGACTTTTAAAAATGACATGCACAGTGGCGCTTTTTCATTGATTTTTTACTCTTATTTTTTATCATACGATTGTTTTGATGGATTTTATGTGATTAATTGTAAAGCACTTTGGTTGCCTTGAGGGTCGTAAAGAGTAAATAGAAAAATGATTGATTGATTGGTTATATAGAGCACAAAGTCTGTCATAGTTTGGACTTTTTGTTGATTTTTTGTATATATTTTCTTGTTGTTTGAGTTTTACTTCCTGACTGTGTTTGCCCCGATTGTCCCTGTGTGTATTTATTCCTCATGTCCATGGTTTCTTTTTCTTTTTTTTCTTGTGGCATTTATTAAATTACATAATTTACAGTAAGGCCCTTCTTTGTTTTATGCCTTGACCAAGCCCTCACACACATTTGGTCTGGTTTGGTCCTGAACGTTTTTGTCCGAATATTGTCAGATTAGATTAGGTTATTTCCCAATTCAGAACCTGAAGTATAAATTGACGTTTCCACCGCAGATGTTTTGATCCATTCAAAATGTCTGAGGTGGAAACTTCAATCTTTATATATTTTTTTAAATAAACAAAAAATCTGTGAATACATACAAAATACAATATTGAATAAGTCATCATCATATTTTCCCCTCAAACTGAAGTACCTAACCTTTGAGAACTGGAAAGTAAAAACTCATTCAGAACTACAATGTCAAAAGTAGTCCTGCTTTAAACCTAAGTTATGGGTTAGAATCTTTGGTGGAACCTCGTCTGAAGATGTTGGAGAAGTCACTAATGTATAACAAATGCAATAACACAATATTCCACATCAGGACGACAGTAACAACTCAGTATAACACTATCGTCCCTGTGTCCGCAGATGCTCCGTGCTCCGAGCTGCAGGGCCTGATGTCGGGGGTCCTGCCTGACTCCCAGATCTCCTCCTCCTCCATGCGGGACCTCCACGGCTCCATGGGGGCAGCACGCCTGGTGGCCAGTCGCTCTGGCTGGTTCCCCAACCCCACACAGCCCATCGCCGGAGAGGAGTGGCTACAGGCAAGTGCACTCCCAGCTTCATTTTAGTTTTATTCATTTAACCAGGAAGATAAGAACCTATTTTTTTGAAGACATATGCCACATTCTACACACTCTGTCCACTCTGTTCCCTCCTTAGGACACTTATGGGGTCAGTGCATTTGTGGGCTCTCCCAAAGTCCAACAGGGGACTCCAATTCCCCTCTGTGTCTTGAAGAGTAGTTTCTAGCACTGGTGGCAAGACTGGTTAAAATAGACCACAAGGCTTTGTTATACACTGAAAATGATTTAATATGAGTTCATAATGGCTTTATTTTAGTGTATATAAGATACACTGTAAATAAGATTTGCCAAAGGGACAAAGCCATTTTGTTTTCAAAAACTGTTGCACTTTCTTCTCAATCCAAGGGAGACATTTCTTGTATCTTTAAGTCAGTGAAAATGTGCTCAAATTAGGATACATTTTGCAGAATTTGTGCAATTTTGTACTTATTTTTCCACCACTTTGTGTGGCATACAGTAGTCTGGGGAAAAGGTAAACACACCACAAAAGAATGAATGAGAGCTGAACATTTGTACACAGCCTCTATTTTTCATTGTTTTTGATTTTCAAACGCTAAACCAAGCCATTAGTATGTTGGTTAAACTGTTAAGCCAAGTATGTCCTAACTCAGGCCCCCGGGCCAATTGCGGCCCTCTGTATCATGTTATGTGGACCTCAGCTTAGCTCACTGACATTAGTCTTTGAGATCATAAGCACACAGTTCACAATGTCATCTAGCCAACTTCATCTCTGCCTATACAGCTCTAGAATCCAGCCGTTTTGTTTTTGTCACAAAATGATGCATAAGGCGCTAATGTGAGATGGTAAACGTTTGTCATTCAGCCAATGTCGGCTCTGTCAAACATGAATCAATATGGAAGTGTCAGACCTCATTTTAACCTTAAGTCTAGTCAGCTAAAGTGTCCCTCGGACTAAAAGGTTTGGACGTTCTTATGTTACGTCCAAAGATTAACACTAAACATAGCACTGGCCAAACACATGCAGAACAGTATGTTTAAGTTCTGTATATTTCCATTACTTTTCAATATTATTTTAACTTGAGAAAAAGCTAATTTACTGACCCATGTAACCTGAAAATGCGATAACAAAACACTTCCATGTGCCAATATTGAGTCCCCATAGTGACCCCTTGCCTTTGCCTCCCCTCCGTGCTGCTCAGGTGGATCTGGGGGTCCCGAAGACGGTGCGCGGCATCATTACCCAGGGTGCACGGGGGCTGGAGGGCAGCACTAGTGCAGAGAACAGAGCCTTCGTCCGCAAGTACAAACTGGCCCACAGCCTGAACGGGAAGGACTGGACCCACATCATCGACAGCAAGACCGGCCTGGCCAAGGTAACTCGCACAGGGGCGAATAAAGATAATGCTATTCCACTGTTTTTACTTTTTACTTGGCCACAAACCAAGCCTGGTCTTACCACACCATCGTACTCATTTCATCTTGTACTAAGGTCTGGATTTGCTCCATTGACTCCGTTACCAGGTGGGTGGGGTTAACTCCTTTTGCAGATTGAAACGATTGGATCTGAGTTTACCGTGACTTATGTAATGCACCAGAGAGACTGAAGCATTTAGCATTTAGCCTAGCTTTAGCATTTAGCCTTGCTTTAGCCATCTCCTTTGCCACTAAAGTAGCCCGTGGGGAGTAGAGCCACAACATCTTTGCAGCAGTGACATTTACTAAACATTCCTCTTGCTTTGGCTTCAGCCAATCAGCTTGTTTGTACAATTATGCAAAACAATATTATGAATTCTAACAGAGTAAAGACAGCATGTTGTGGTTTGATTTGTTCTCTATGATCTGTATTGAAAAAAAGTTAGGTACCCCTGCTTTAAAATATACATACTGTATATGCATTTTGGCTCATCCATATGTCCTTTATAACACATGGCAAGGCAAGGCAAGGCACATTTATTTATAAAGCACCATTCATAAAGAAGCAACCCAGGGGGCTTAACAGGCACAGAAAGAATATATTGGAATAAAAACCATAAAAACCATAAAACACATGTATAGTTTTAGGCCCTCGGGCTAACTGCGGCCCTCTATGGCGCTGTATGTGGCCTTTGAACATGCATCAATATTGTACTGTCATTTTCAGAACCGTCTGGGAAAAAAACTCTTTTACTTTTCAGGTTGTCAGCTCCTGAACAAGTCTGGGGAACTAAACTAAACTAAATATTCACATGTGAAACGTATCAAATCTATTCCAAACGATTTTGAAATTCTTCACAGTCAATTATGACAAAAATGTACTTTCAAAAATGCTTGATCATTTAATGTCTGCTTTCTCATTTGCACACTGTCTATTCAAACCTTCCTGTCATTTTCTGAATACTCCATTTTATTCAAGTCTCCGCTCTGATAATAATTCATTTTAATCACCTCTCTTTCTCACTCTTTCCGTGTCTGTGGCTTTCTTCTCATTTTTCTGTTCACTCATCCTCTATTTGTTTCTCCTGGGTTCTAATTAAAATGCTCTTTCTTTTGCATGGATACGCAGCAGCGCCGGTAGTCCCTGTCAGGGCTTTGGTTTCCTTTAATAGTATTTCTAAGTGTCTCCTTTCCAGGCTTTCATCTGCCTGTCATTAGCAATATGCATCTCTGGAAATTCATCTGAGCATTTACATGAGGAACTACGGCGTTTGAATTCAAAACGCCATGTATTAAAACAGCGGTGTATTTAGCGCTTGTGTCGTAGCCGTTGGCGATTGAAATCTTATTTAGGAATCAAAGGAAACAATGTGTGGCGATCGCTCAAATGTCTTGTCAGGATGTTGAGAGACGGATGGAGAATTTGGCATTAAACTCATGTAGTTTGTCTCAATTTGAGGAAACTTGACAGGTTGAGAAAGCGAAGCAAAGTCTGCTTCAGCAAGACTTTATCAGTGACAATGCCTAATATTTTGATCCTCTGCACCGTTGATACTACAAATCGATAGTAAATACTGTAAATACTTTTTCAGAGAGTAGATATAGTTCACCGACTGTCTCCGAATAGGGGCAGTAGGTGAACTATGGCTGAGCGGTTAGCCCTTCTCAGCAAGAAGATCCTGGGTTCAAATCTCAGTTGGAACAGGGGGTTTCTGAGCGGAGTTTGCATGTTCTCTCAGTGCCTGCGTGGGTTTCCTCCGGGTCCTCTGGTTTCCCCATCACTAAAATTACAAAACACTAAAAAGAGGTGAAAAAAAAATTCCTCTCGCTACCAAGCCAAGCACCAACAATGGAAGATGGGCGCTGTTACTACGGCAACCACTGCTCCTGACGGAAGCCTTAGTGGCATCAGGATGGGTCAAATACAGGGAATGAATTGTCCTACAAGAATAAATAAAGTGCTCCTTTACCTTTAAATGCTTCAAACTGATTCACTGACAGCAACAAGGAACCTACATAGAAAGATGCATTCACTTTGTCCAATCATGTATTACATAATCAAAATGTAGCCAATTTAAGACAAGGACATTATTAACATTAATGGACAGTGGTCGTCCCACCTCCTTTGGACCAATGGTTCTATGTGTTTGTTATTATTGCATTTCCTGTGTTCGAACTGTTTAATATTTTGAAATGTATAGGAACATTTGTATAGGCTCGAAATCCAGGTCTCAGACTGTAGAAGGCCTGGTCGGTGAGGAAGCATAGACCAAGCACATGGCTCATTAGAACTAATGTCAAAATAAAGAAAATTTCAAATGTTTAGCAAAAGTCAGGGCGGAGAAGCAGGGGACACTTACATACTTGCTTTATACATGGAGATAAAATTGCCGTATTTTCCATAGTTCGGTCTTGCCTACACAATAGAGAGAAAATCAAACTTTCCAACAAATGCTAAAGCTTACACGCTTGAAGAGAACCCAGGCATCTCCAGCCGTGGGACGTCCCGCACTCACCGGGAATTATTTGAATTGGACTCCTTCCCTTTTGAGTAAAATCAAAACACACAGACCCTAAATGATTCCACGCTGCTCTGCCTCGGTTCAGGGCCCATTTGCGCTCACATATTTCCTGATCGTGACGTGTTCTTTGGGCAGATCTTCGAGGGGAACGGCCACTACGACACCCCGGAGGTCAGGCGCTTTGAGGAGATCGTGGCCCAGTTTGTGCGAGTCTTTCCGGAGCGCTGGTCTCCCGCTGGGATTGGCATGAGGATGGAGGTGCTGGGCTGCGACCTGCCAGGTAAGAAAACTACTTTGATCTGTTTTTCACACACCGAGGGAAGAGAGAGGATGAGGCGTTCACACCGCTGACGCTGGAACGCAGCTTCCACGTGCACTACGCACATTCTCTAAATTTCAGACGCTAGGGATGTTCAGACCAGAACACCTGGCCTGTGGTGGCGCCCGGCGGAAGTGGCGGAAGTGCTTTGATGCTAACGGAGTTATGCTAGCAGCTTTTTGTGTAAAGTTCTTCTCCAAGAATGCAGCTCTGCAGCGTCTCTGTGTCCAGAGACCTTCCAGAGACTTTATATAACAGCAGTTTGTGTTCACGGAGCTGCCCCATAAGTTTGTTTTATTATTAAACAGTACTTCCGCATTGGTGAACATGCTAGCTGCACTTGTTTTCAGTCACTAGAGAATGAGAACTGAGACTGGAGGCATATGTTCACACTGTGTCCCCTATTGTCAGTCCTGGTTTAGTCCTGGTTTAGCTCCTATTTTGGCTGTTTACGAGTATTTTCAGTCTGCTCTCTAGACCGGCTCTCTGATTGGTTGCTGCATGTGCGTACCGAGGAAAAAGCTCAGCAATGTTTATCTCCTGCGTGCGTCAATTTTCCGCTCCTGCGCCTCTGCCGCGCCTTAACCGCGCAGTCCGTGTGTGCGTCCTTTCTACCCTACTCTACTCCTCTGTACTCTACTCTACTCCTCTCTACCCTACTCTACTCCTCTCTACCCTACTCTACTCCTCTCTACTCTACTCTACTCCTCTCTACCCTACTCTACTCCTCTCTACCCTACTCTACTCCTCTCTACCCTACTCTACTCCTCTCTACTCTACTCTACTCCTCTCTACCCTACTCTACTCCTCTCTACCCTACTCTACTCCTCTCTACTCTACTCTACTCCTCTCTACTCTACTCTACTCCTCTCTACTCTACTCTACTCTACTCCTCTCTACTCTACTCTACTCCTCTCTACTCTACTCTACTCCTTTCTCCCTTCTACTTTTCGCCCCTTAAGAAGTGTCCTAAGCGGGAAATACCTTTCAGATCAAATACAAGCCTTTACCAAAAAAGTTACAGAGTGTACCAATTACCTTAAGTTGCACTCTCTACCTTAAGTAGTATTTTTTTTTTAATGTCAGGTTTTTTTCCCCCTCCGACTGTAAGTGGCCGCGAGAATCTGAGTAACAGAAATAAATCACAATAACCTATAGTTTTGACTGAAAACTCCATTTAGCATTGAACATAAACCCACCCACCACTGTAATTACAATGCCACATTAGTGACCGTAATGCTCTGCTAATAGCAGCTTATGCCTGAGCCTATATCCATAAGTCTTTATTGTTTTCATGTGTTTTTCTCCTCACCGTCGCACGCCCATGTAGCAGCGGTTGCGCAATGGTTAATTCTCCATACGGGCCAATGTTGCTCGTCTGGAACAGGATTAAAATGTCTAGGTCATGGGACGTCCAGTAATAATGGCCAGCTGTGTGCCTCCAGTGTTGTGGAAATATCCGTGAGTGCAGAAAGATTCAATGTTGTGCGGACTGATCATTTATGACTTTTACGTACACATGTGTGAGTAGTTTAGGAGCGAATGTCAGTTTGGGTTGTGGAGATTGGAGTGTGTTTATGGTAATGGGGCTGTGTTGTGTGGCGCTTGTTAGCAGGGAGAAGCAAACAGCAGGGAATGGATGGAGAAATGTAGGTTTTTTTTTCAGCAAAACAATGCGTTATTTCTTTGCTCAAAAGCCAGATCAAGCGAATCAACACAGTACAAACAATGATGTGGGCTGAAACTAGCAATTATCATAGATGCAGAGGAGGCAAAACATGTAAGAAAGCTGAAATATAGGGGCTTTAGCTTTGGTCACTTTTCTAAGTTTCTGTAATTTTGTATTTGTCCAGGTATGATGCACTTTATTAGGAAGACTTTTACATACATATTCCTTTCTTTAAATTTTTTATGATTATAGCTTACAGTCGGTCACATATCGGCAGAATGATTGACAATTAGGAGGACCAATAGTCTTGATGATCCACCCAAAAGTAGAAAATCCTCCTGTATACTGGTAATAAAAACCTTGTATTGTGTGCTCCTTTCTTCTGTTCTTTATCTTTGAAACTTCCCGACTATTGGACATAAAAGAGGTCATTTTTGCTCAAAGGAAACAACAAAAATGTGTCTGCAGAGAAGCGGCACCATGCATTTGGGGAAATAAATAAATCAATAAATCAACTCCTCGCTCCGGTGGTACCATAGTGATGGGGTCATATATTTCCTACTTAATATAATAAAATATGAAAATACAAAGTGAAAAATAATAGTTTGTACTGTCTAAAAAGAAGGCATAGTATTTGAAAAGTTTATTTACAAAGACATAAAAGTGCAAGGTTAATGTTAGCGTAATATTTGAAAAGAGAAGATAAGAATTCCTTTATTCGTCCCACAGTGGGGAAATATCGATGTTGCATCGCACAAATAGGACAGTAGTAAGAGCACACAGGGAGCACACACAATATATACAAATAAGTAGTAGCTATGTTTCTTAGCTAACATAACTAGCTGTAGATGCTGAAAATGCTTCAATACCAGTCAAAAAAATATATATGTAGTAGTGCAGTTATATACTGTACAGCTAAATAGTGCAGGATAAAAAGTATATAAGTAAAGTGACATGAGGTAAAGTGACATTGTTCTGTGACATTCTGAAGTTGCAGTATTGCACATTGCACATGATTTAATAATTTACTTAGTTACAGATGAATTAAATTTACAGGCTCAGCAGTTCTTATTGTACAGTCTGACAGCAGCAGGAAGGAAAGACCTACGAAACCTCTCCTTCACACAGCGAGGGTGAATTACCCTTCGCCCTTTACTGAGTCGTTTTGAAAAGCCAGATATATTTTAGTGCCATACAGCTAAAGTTCATCCCCTTCTCGGGCAAATCTTTTCATATTTGCTGCCAAAACGATTGAAGGGAAAGAAAAACATCTTTTTGACTAATTTCTTAACTGAGATACCTTTTTTTTTTGCAAATTAACTCCTCATTTCTTCTTCCGGGATCTTGTATTATTTACCAGATTACCTTCAGGAAAGCAGCAGTGCTTACAGTACGTACTGATGAGGAGCAGGAATGACACATGAAGAGCAGCTCCCAGTGGAGACACTTCAGTTTGACCCAGTGACGGCACGACAGGGACCTTCAGAGTCCAGACCATTTTCCCACTTGGAGTAATACATAGCCTGGTCTTACCATACCATTGTACTTATTTCATTTCATGCTAAAGTCTGGATTATCCAACAGGTGGGAGGGGTTAACCCCTGTTGCAGATTGAAACAATTGTTTCTGAGTTTACAGTGATGGATATAATGCGCCCGAGTGAGTGAGGCATAAGTTGGTTTAGGTCTTACCTTGAAGACAGGAATTAATTCATGGAGATTGGAAACTGCTCAACTGTCTCAGTCATGTAGTGCCATATGAAGTGAAGTACCACAGGGGACAATCCTGGCACCTCTTCTGTTCAATCCCTACATGCAGCCGTTAGGCAGCATAAAATACATCTGCCTGCCCTTTAATCACTACTGTATTGTCCTTCCTTATTCCAGAATATAAAAAAACCCTGGATTGTAACAGTTTGAACAATTACACCTGGCTTTTAAACTCTCCAAATCACTTTCCATGAGTGTCTTGTTGTTCCTCTTTAGTCTGGGGGCTATATTACCCCCTCCCCTTCTCTCCCCCCTTAACTCTCTCTCCCCATCTCCTGTCTGCTCCGCGGGGCTGTCTGAGGTCCAGATGTGTGCCTCGTGGTTGTAATCACTGCATTAGTTGAGTTCATTGCCACTTCACGTGAACACACACACATCTGGTCCCTGCGCACCGCCGCACACAGACCGCTGCTGCTGCTGCTGCTGCTGGCCACACGTCCTGCTACATTAGGCTTTGTCTGGTCCTTGGTAATTGGTGAACATTAGGTGATTAAGAACGCTGCTGCTGCTGATGATGATTTTATGTTTTTGCCTGAAGTGAAGCTACTTAAAGTGTTCTTGACAACATATTTATTTATCTTTTTTCAAACTTAATGAATGATGAGACATCAAGGTTTTTTTACAGCACTTTTTTGGACTCCCTCAGACTCTTCACATGTCCATACACAGTGGTGATAAACTACTACTGTAGCCACAGCTGCCCTGGGGCACACTGACAGAAGCGAGGCAACCCTCCCACCACCACCAACCATTCACACAATCTCCAGACTCATTCTAATGTGGGTGACGTGTCTTGCCCAAGGACACAACCACAGTTTGGCACTTTACAGTCGCCCCACTGTGGCACCTGGTGTTCCCAGAGGTGTGGGGTCCCATCACAGAACTAACCAGGCCCTGCCCTGCTTAGTACTGTGACTTACTGGCACTCCAAGTAAGAAAATGATACTGCTGTACTGCTCTGTTTTCCAACCTACATTTACCTAAAATGATGTCTCAAGAAATATTGTTTTAGTCAAAGTACTGTACATACTTAAAGTAGTAATGTGTAAGATTTTCATTTCAAGTCAACATTAAAGGGCCCTAATCCGTCAAAATGCATTAATAAACAATGGTCTTTTCCTTGAATTAGTTCAAAATTAATTTTACAACCCCTAAATCTTGTTATTGTTTTCATTTCGATGTCCCTCCCTCCACCGTTTTACCAATCAGAAAGTCTGTGATCCGGTTTGCCAGAGCTCACCGCGTCAAGCTAATCTCACTGGTAAAGTACCATGTGCCGCAGAACTAAAAAAGGTCTCGATATAATTCTCAAATCCTTAACGCCAATACAAGGAATAAAACCAGGATTTCTATCTTTGTGAAAAAGGTGTTGGTTATAGATTTGTTTTTGAAAAAACTATTATGGTCCCAGCTGGATTTGTCTGCATATCTGGCAACCTGAGTCAGGGAGAGTGGGAGAAGTTGCAATACCAGTTTTGGACAGATTTTTACATATAGTTCCTTTAATGACCGATCATTAATTA